GCATCCCAGAGAGGAATGTTGTCACCACCAGAGGGCAGCGGGGGCTGGACGCTACTGGCCTCTCCTTCAGGGGTTAGTGTCGGGACCGAAGGATGTGGGGGAAGGGGGGGGGGGTTTATATTTGAATTTGGAACTAACTGGAAATATTGTCAAATAGAGATAGAAATATAATTTTAAAAAATTGAGGGGGCACGTGCCCCTGGTCGCAATATGCCTTCGCCCCAAAACAGAGAGAAAGAGAAGAAGAAGGGTAAAAAAAAAAAAAAAAAAATTCTTTTTGGCTCATACCTTAAGAAATGTCCTCACCAATTGGAAAAAAATCACGTTAATAATTTAAATGAATGCTTTAAAATTTTAAATAAAGATAAGTTCTTATTAGTGATTTATATTTTTTGAATGATATAATGGAAATGTTTTATTCCAATAACATAATATAGATAATTTCAACGATATGACCATGTCAATTTTGTTTTAAAGGGTTAAATTAGATTAACAATTTATGAGCTTTATTAAAATCATATTTGATTGTATTAAAATGACGGGATTAGTATTTTTATGATTGGTTGGGAGTGTTATTTCAATCCCATTATGTTGAAGGTGAAAAGATGGGGCTAAATTTCGTTAACTAAATCTTATAATTTTGTAATTATATTAAACTCTTTTAAGATTTTAATTCACATAACATTTTAACTTTCTTGTTATCAGAAATTCGTTAGTCACATGGATATTATTTTTACACTAAAATATATATTTCACATTATTTATTTTTGTGTATTCAATTTAGCTGCATTGATTTCGGTCTCTTTAATCTTATTAAAAAGAGGATCGTATAATTATATTAAAATTGTGAGATTTGTTGTATTTTTTTTTCTCTAAAGCTCAACGAGGTCGTTGTAACTTACCTTTATTTTTATGAATTGATTGGAAGAAAGAGAAGTCCTTTGTGGTTGAAAAAAAAAAGAGATAAAGACCCAAAATTTCTATCTAGAATGTGGTTCAAATTCAACGCTTATTTGATGAGACTCACATGTAAAATCAATCTCAATTACACATAAATGTTTTTGGGCAATTTTGTAACAAAAATTTCGGTATCCTAGGATAGCTGGCTTGAAAATGTTGTATGGATGGTCTATTCTTGAAATTAGCCTTGTCGATTTTTTATTTTTATTTTTTATCTGATCATGAGGTTACCAAAATTTGATTAATATAATTTTTTATAAGAATGATTTTCTCAATAGATCTTACAAAATAAACTATTCAAATTACTAAGGAGTCCACAACAAACAGATTTTACTATCTCATCCAAATAAAAGGAGAATTACAATTCAGTCGTAATGATCAAAAGTAGTTACACAAACATGGGGTACAACTTGCATTGTACAAAAAAAGCCCACAAAACGAGTTCTAACCCTCACCTCCCTATAATTATTTTTAGTCTTTTATCCATATTTGCAATTATACCAAATAAATGGACTGAAGAAAAAGACAAGGAATTTGCCACAGTAGATCTTTTGCCTTTCTTTTTTCCTGCATCTTATACGATTCTCAAATAAGCAAACTTTTAGAAATAACCTTTTATGTTTGTGTGCATGCATGATAGCAAGAGGCAAATAATAGTGCCTTTTGGACTTGCATACCTTGGGATTGTTTTGAGCATTTGTTGAGCTCCAAAAGTCTTAAGAAGCATCATACAAACCTTGGTATGTGGGGGACTTCAATTCAATTTGTTGACACATTGTTGCTTGCTGAGGTAATATCATATCAAAAACATTGAACTTTAGTTGATTGTGGGATTAGAGCATCTCCAATAGTTTGCCATTGCAGTTGCTAAAGCTATATTATGGCAGCTTTGAGGAAAAAAGGTTCTCCAATGGTCACAAATAACAGCTGTTAAAAATGGCAAATGCTAAAGTTGTTGCCAAGTTTGACAATAACTTTGGCAAATAACAAATCTGTCAGCTCGCCCAAAACTAACTGATTTTCTTTCTTCCCTCCCCCCCTTTCTCATTCTTTTCTAGAAAAAAACTCAAACAAAAATAGATCAATAATTTCATTTTGCAAAATTCAGGAATTTTTTTTTAAACAAAACTCACCAATTTGTTTAAACAGTGTCGACAATTGAAAAAAAAAAAATCAGCAATTTATTTTTAAACAAAATTTCAATCAATCTCAACATTCAAGTAATCTTAACATATTCAAAAAAAAAAATTTAAACTCTAAATTGAAACAGTGAATTAGCATAACCATCGAACCAACCTTCAGTGAAGAGAACCCAACCTTCATTGAACCCAACCTCAACGAAAACTCCAATCAGTAAAAGAATAGAGCAAGAGAGAGGAAGAGAAAGAGTTTCTTCTTTATCACCTTCGATGACACCATTGAAGGAAACTCCAATTGGATTATGAACCTAGGGTTTTTGAGACGACGAATAGGGTTGAAATGATGGAGCTACGCTGGTTCATACGGAGATTGCAGACGATTAGCATGAGCGATACATCGGATGTTTATGGGAAATTTTGAGAGAGAAAGACAAAGAAGTGGAGTATGATTCCAGAGAAATAGAAATGAAGGCGATAAGAGAGAGGAGGATAGAAGCAATGGAAAGAGACAGAGAGATAGATATTTTGAGAGAGAGCCCATGGTTCATCTTTATCCAAACATTTTGAGAGATAGATACTTTGAGTATTTAAATTTATTTTTTCAAATTTTCAATTTCTTTTTCATTTTTTATATTTGTCTAGTCAGATATAATATAAATATATATTTTTTTTGACAAACAGATAAAAAAAGGTCACAAAAGACAAAAAAATAAACAAAAAAAATACTAAAAAATCTATATTCAAACAACACCTATAAACTTGAAGGGAAAATTGATTGAGATTTGTCAAAATAGCATGTGTACCATTGGAGCATCATTGCTATAATTTGGCAATGAATACTATTTTCTAGTAAGTTTAGATTGTTGAGTAGAATCATATTTAGCACGATAAGCATGTCTTTTAGTCCTATTTTCTTTAGATTTAAATTCGACATGTAATTTATCAAGATCAGGAGCAAAAGATTTACTAATTGTCATTAATTGAGGATTGATTGGAGATATTACTTCGAAATCAGTTTGAGTAGGAGAATTATTTGATTCAGTATTTTCTTCACGGAAATGTGTATGAGTAGAATAAACAAGTTTACTAATTTGAGAGGTAGTAGAGTTATCAATGCCTTTTAATTTACTATGGGAGGGTTGACCAAGATTAATTTGACTATTTTTTCGGAATAAAGGAGTATTAAATATTTCATCTTCAGTTTCAAGATCAGTAGGTATACTCGAAGTACTATGTCTAGAAGATTGACTACGATTAAATTTAATACGGACTGAACCGTCAGTAAATTGTTGAATATCTTGGATATCTTGACTAGTGGATTGTTGTTAATTATGTTTGTAATTTTCATTAACCGTAATCCATTGATCAGGGAGAGTAATATCTTTCCATTCTATCATTTGAGGAATATTTATATTAGTATCATTGTTACTAGTTTGAATCAGTAATGTTTTGTCCTTAGGACTTTTATGTAAAGCTTGAACATTTAAATTGGTTTTAATACATTTATAATGGACACGGTAAATTAAAGCAATATTATGAGTTTTTTCTTTCATATTAGTAAATGAACCATTTAATTGAATATTTAAAGTTAATGCATCTAATATGTGTGGATCTCTAAGACTGAGTGTGAAATCAGGAAAACAATTAAAATGAATAGGTTCTTTGTGAAGACCAGTTTCCACCATACCCATTAAACTATCATTATAATCAAGAAAACGAGCATCTCTTAAACATAATAAAACAGAAGTATTTTTACCTTGTGGAGTTAATGGTTTGATTCCAACTTGAATTAATCCTAAATGAATAAAATTGTGACCAGTTTTTAAATGACGTTTAATAGTGTTAGCATCAAATAAGTGACAGGTTTCTCTAGGCTTTTCTAAAGCATAAACTTGTTCTAATGTTTTAACATGCAGATTAACATTAAAAGCAGATTGTAAAAACGTAGTTTTATAAATCTCTTTAATTGATAATTTTGGTATATTCCAACTTAAATCCAGTTTATCATTTTGTATTTCTAATTCTTCTTCATTAATTACTAATCCTTGATTAGGTATTGAGGGCAAAGTTGTTGACCTAGAACTGACTGAAGAGTTACTTCTAAATAATCGACTCATTTTTCTTTAATTAAACTATTTTACAGGAATCTTAATACATTGTCTAAATTTATCATGTTTTCACATACTATGCTTTCACACACACCCATTTCGGAGGACCCCTAAAATCCTATACTGCCTAACCAAAGGACTGACCAAGGACCGGGACGAAGATTGGGTGGCTAGTAACAAAGTGGAAAACACAGATATAATTTTGACAAATTAAAATGACTGGAAACAGATTAACAGATAGCAAATAGAGTTGACTCAATAGAAGTAGCAAAGCAGTAAGCAAGAGATCTCAACATAACTTGGCTCTGATACCAAAAGGGACGGAAGCAGAAATATAAAGAACATGAAGAAGGAAATAACACTAATAATACTAAAAATAAGCTAAACTAAAACTGAAATATAATACTAAAAGAAAACAGTTTAAAAATACATTAATAATAAAACTTACAATTGTTTAATGGAGTGAAATAAACAATTCTTCAAAATACATAACTTGAAAACGAACTTGAAAAGAAAATTACAGAGATAGGTTTTTCTCTTGAGGAAGGAATGCTCTCAATTTTTTCTAACTCTGCCTTATTCTTGACTGAAGAGACCCTTTTATTATCAAAAGAGACCACTGTTAGCCTTGTGAGTGAATACTATGAGTCTTGTGAGTGAATAGTCTTGACTTGAAAGGAGCATCAGAAGCACATGGGAGTTGTCTACTGCTTTCGGTGAGTGACAAAAACTTTTACTGTGCTGAATTTGTCGGTGGGATGAATCATGATGAATAGTAATGTTGACTTTTTGATGAATAGTGAACAGTAAAGTTGACTTTTTTTACTATTCATTGCTTGGAGGCATGTGAGTGAGGAAATCAATATAGATATATATACCAGCAGCTTTTCTCAAAAGGCGAGTATTGATTGAAACTGATAATTATAGCTATATAGAATCCAATGACTGAATTAAGCATATGGGTCTTGAACATCTTGGAACTCGGGTCCATATGAATTTTGAGTAGTTGAACCTTCAGAAGAGCTTGAACTGTCTGAACCATCTTCTGAACTGCTGTTATCCGAGTCTGACTTGGCTTGGGCCATGAGTAGATGAGCCATTTGGAGGAGCTCATCTTTGGATGACTTGGACTTGGGCTTAATCTTTGATTTAGATTTATCCTTTGACTTGGGCTGGTCAGAACTGGGCTTTGCTGTCTCGGATTTAATCTTTGATTTGGATGACTTGGGCTTGGAAGAACTGGATGATGGGCTTCCAAGATTGATTGAAGGAAGTTGGCTTCCTTGAGTGACTGGAGCAGTTGGGATCTACTGAGCTTTAACCATGGCAGGTGTAGGAGCATGAATGTTAATCGGGAACTCAGTTTGAACAATTTCAACAATTCGTTGAATCTTGAAGTTGTCTCACCATTTAACCTTATGTAGCCGCTGAATCACTTTACCAGAAATACCATATTGCCATTTGAATATCCAAGGGATTTTATATTTGGATATAAAAATAAGCAATTGAGGGAATTCTTTTTGCTGTGGAGTAAATGAGAAAACAGTGGAGAAGTAATTGACTTGATCCAAAATTATTGATGGGAAGATGTTTGGAATGGCACCATAATGGGTCCACCATCTCAGAAACCAAGTAGGTAATTCTGATTTAAACTTTTGATCAAATTGAAGAAACCAGGAGTGACTAAATGTTTCATTTTGATATAGGAGGACTTTGAACCAGGCATCAATATAATCATAATAATTATACTGAAGGGAGTGATTAGGTAAATCTCGAAGTTGATAAGGAGAACCCCATTCAACTAAGGAAACAAAATTGTAAATATAAAGTGAATGGTAAACCACTTTACTAGTGTAAGCACGATCATAAATGGGTTTAATCACAATTGACTGATGGTTGAGCAGGATGTCTTTATAGAAGGTGATTGTTTTCTCTGGATGGAGAGGAACAAAATGCCTTCCAGGAGGGAAATAAGTTTTAACCAGATCATTAACATATTGACTCTTTGGGTGACTAGGTTCTTTGAAAAAGAGATTAGTAGTTGTTGAGTCAACATAATCAGATCGAGCAGTTTTAATAGGATTAGGAGGGTATGGAGTAACTGCTTGGCTGGATGAAGCAAAAGGATCAGTGGCCAAAGCAGATGTGAAACTGGGTCGAGGAATATTACCAAGAACTTGGAAACGGTTAATCATTTCAATAGGATGGTATTGGGTGACTAACTCCAAAGGAGGAATAAAAGGTTGACTAGTTGGGACCAAGGCTTTAGAAGGGGGCCTTGGGCGAGACATCTGTTTGAAAAGAAATAAAGGTTAGCAACAAAAATTAGCAACCACTAAGGAGATCTAAATAAGTTTGATGAAAAACCAAACAGTTGTAATAATCAGCAAGTAAATGGAGACGAGCTTGAATTTGGTGGTACTGAATGTATTGAGCACGTTTAGTAGTTTTTCTGGCTAATTTTAACTGGCCAATGCGATAAGTAGATTGGTGAATTAGATCACGGTAATGGGTAATTTAGGTTTTATGGTAAGCAATAAATGGAGTGGCCATCCCTATCCTCCCTGTAAAAATTCCCTGGTAAGGAAATCAGGAATGGAATTTTGACAACCAGGTATATATTCAATAGTAAAATCGAAAATACTTAAAATAGATTGCCAACGGGCAAAAATTTGCTTACTAGCAAGATTTTGAACATCTTTTTCTAAAACATATTTAGCAGATTTGCAATCAACACGAAGTAAAAATTGTTGATTTAAAATATCATCTTGAAATTTACTGATACATAAAACAGTAGATAAAATTTCTTTTTTAATAGTACTATAATTCTTTTGTGCTTTATTCCAGACACCAGAATGATAACGAACAATTTGTTCAGATGACTGAGGAGTAATTTGCTGGAGAAGGATGCCGCCATAACCGATATCAGAGGCATCAGTTTGAATAATTTTGAATGAATTTTCAGTAGGAATACCAAGACAAGGAAGAGACTTGACATATTGTTTAACCTGTTTAACAATAGTAGTATGAGTAGAAGACCAAGGAGGAGGATTGTCTTTTAACCGATCAAACAGGGGTTGACAAGTTTTCTTAAGGTCTTTGTAAAATTCAGCAATATAATTCAGCGATCCTAAAAAACGTTGTAGCTAAGTTTTATCTAAGATTTCATCAGGGAATTTAGACGCAAATTCAATGGAACGACTAATAGGTAAAATAGTATTCTGGTGAATATCATAACCTAAAAATTGGACTTTGGTTTGAAACAATCTAATCTTAGGAGCAGAAATGACTAGGCTATGACTCTTAATGGTATAAAAGAATGCAGTAAGATGTTTCCAGTGTTTACTAATTGATTTTGAAAAAATAAGAATATCATCTATATAAACTATGGAAAAATGACTAAATGGATTGAAA